AAGATCCCGAGAGGAGAATGGAGGAGAAGGGATTGCGGCGTGACCATCCCCCCTGGGGGGTGATTTCTCGCTTTCTGTCTCTATGTCTTTCTCTGTCTGTCTGGCGAGCGCACGCGCCCTACAATGAAAATCTCTCTCTCAAAAAAAAGACTTATTTATTTATTTAATTCCACTTGTTATTATTATTTTTTAATTTGACCAGAGAGATGGAGAAAGGGAAAACAAGAAAGCAAGCCGCCAGGCCCGGGACTTGAACCATGGTCAGCCATGTGGGAAAACAGCACCTTTAACCGTCATGCCACCTGCTGGCTCCCATTCCTTAATTCTTGCTACGTGCAGACAATGGCTACTGTCTACCTAAGGTGTGATATACAGGGTCTCGGGCAGCTAAGACCCCTTCCCCACGAGGTATGGGTTCTAGAGGAGACCACCCAAAGCCCACATCAGGAGCCATTCATTTGCTCTTCTGGGGTGTCATAACCTGGCCCGGCCACACCACCGTGGACCAGAACGGCTCTCTGACCAGACACGAGAACTGGAAGAAGACGTCCCAGGAGGGGATCCTGGCTCATGTAATCCGTTCAAACAAGACATCTGCATTTTACTAGGGCAAGGGAGTCCCTAAAACAGCTGGGAAGTGAATGAGACAGGCCTCTCGCCCAGAGTCGGAAGGCCATTTGGTGGCAGGGGCTGGCAGGACCGGGAGGCGACAAAGCCAGAGAGGATGTCAGGGTTTGAGAATGAAAGCACTGAGCGAGGGTTTCACTTTGGAAGACATGAGCTTATCAGCTGTGAGATTTCAGACAGGTTCCTGAACCTTTTGAGCTACGCTTTCCTTGTCTGTAAATGGATTTTTCCTCACCACCGAGGAATTTTCACTACTTGAAAAGTCTTTAACTGAGTAACATTAAAAATAAAAATAACGTACGTGTCATTAAGTGGGTGTCAAAACCGTACCAAGCGTTTGCCACCGTGACTCATCACAGCCTGTACCGCAGAGAGGCAAATCAGCTCAGAGGTTACAGGGCCCATCCTGGCATGGCAGAGCAGGTCTGGGTGCGGGTCTGTCTCTGGGAACTTGGCCCGGCTGCCGTCTGGGGCCCTGACTCTTACATCAGCTATTGAGTTAGAGTCTGCGCTTGAGGAAACTCTCTTTGTTTTAAAGTTAAAAAAAAAAATTCAATTATACCAGCTCATCTCACTCATAGTGAAGGGAATAAATAAAAGATCTTTTTTTGGTGCTGTGGAGGTTAAGGCAGCTGGATCCCACACGGCTGATCTTCTGCTTGGAGTCCCGGACCTGGCGGCTTGAGCACTCTGCTGGGTGCACATGTGCATTCCCAAATCCCAAAAGATGACTGGGGAAGGGGGCGTGTGGTGTGGCCATTCCCTCAGGGGCTGACTTCTCACTTTTTCTCTCTGTCTGTGTTTCTCTCCAGTGAGCACATGCACCCTATAGTAAACCTGAAAAGAAAAGAAACGAAAAGAAGAGAAAAGAATAGGTAATTTTAACCATACAGAGGAGGTTTGGGGGAAGAAGGGTTCCTATGTGTAAGTTGGAGCAGTGGTAACAGATCAAATGCAGTCAGGATTGTTCATCTCAGCTGAGAAGTTTTCCTCTAATATTCTCACTAAAAAGGGAATTTCTAGGGGCCAGCAGGTGGTGTAGTGGTTAAGGTGACTGGACTCCCACATGACTGACTATGGTTCGAGTCCTGGACCTGGTGGCCTGCTCTCTCACTTTCTTTCTCTCTCTCTGGTCAACTTTAAAAAAAATAGTAAAAGTAAAAATAATGACAAAGAATAAGATTAAAAATAAAATAATGTTTTTTTTTTTTTTTTTTTTTTTAAAAAGGAGAATTTCTAGATGGGTAAAAGGGGCTCTTGCTTTTTATTTTACTTTTTCACATGCATTTGTCAGAGAGAGAAAGAGAGAGAGGGAGAGGAAGAGGCACTACCCATGAGGCATGGCCACGCTGTTCTCTCTCTTCCCCGCCTCCCTCCACTGGGTCCGGGATCTGAACTGTGGGGTCAGCCGTGCAAGGTTTGGCTGCCTCGCCTGCTGTTGTAGGAAGAGGGGCTGCACCCCGAAGAAATGCTTCTGCTGCCACTACATCAGCAGGTTCCACACCGGAACCCCTCGAGGTCAGAGCTTTTCAGAACTCGGATGTTCCTGGGAGTTCATGAGCTGACCTAAAGGTACACACACTGTCCGTCAGGTGGTTCCGGAGAGCCTCGGCGGCCCCGGTCGCCACACGCACGCGTGTGTCTGCAGCGACGTGTATGAATATCGACACCAACTCACTTAGTTTGGGGGAGGCTTTTGTCACCGAGCGAGTGTAGGGCAGAATGACGAAATGTTTGGTTTTTCAGTGTTTCTGGGTTTCAGAGCTGTGAGTCAGGGAGCACAGACATGTGACAGCAGGAACAATTGTCCCCGCATCTTCTCATGTAAGTATCACACCGCAGGTTCTGTGTGTATGTACTTTTTCTTCAAAAAGTGCATGGAGAAATAGAATAAAATAAATAGAAACAGAATAAAAACATGAGGTTATTCTGGCACCAAAACTTTCTTTTGAAATTTATGCGTAGTTTTTTTTTCTTTTTAAAACAGTTTTACTGTAGGGTGTGCGTGCTCACTAGAGCGAGGAGAGTGAGCCGGCGAGCACACCCCCAGGAGGGATGGTCGTGCCACTGCTCCTCCTCCCGCTCTCTCAGGGTCTGGGCACGCAGGCACACGCATCCACAGTGCTTTCTCTCTTTTCTTTTAAGAGACACTTCTGCTACAGAGCATGTGTGCTTCCTGGAGAGACAGAGACAGGAAGCGAGAAATCACCCCCAGGGGGATGGCCACACCGCAGTCCCTTCTCCTCCATTCATCTCTTGAGATTTTGGGCACGCACGCACGCACAGTGTTGAGTTTTAAGCTGCCAGGTCCAGGACTCGAACTGCGGTTGACTATATGGGAGTACAGTGATGCAACCATTACGTCATCTGCTGGTTCCATCCCTCGGTGTTTTTCTTTCTTTCTTTCTTTCTTTCTTTTTTTTTTTTTAAGAATTATTTTGTTTAGGGACTGGCAGATGGTGTGGTGATTAAGGTGCTGAGTTCCTACATGGCTGACCATGGTTCGAATTCTGGATTTGGTGGCTTGCTTTCTCACTTTCTCTCTCTCTCTGTCCCTCTCTAGTCAAATTAAAAATAAATAAAGTTAAACAAAACAATTCTTTTTTTAAAGGAATTGTTTTGTTTAACTTTATTTATTATTATTTTCCAGTTTTTTTTAAGAAGTTTTTTTGGTATAGGGCACGTGCACTCGCCAGACAGAGACAGAGAGACAGAAAGCGAGAAATCACCCCCAGGGGGGGTAGCCACGCCTCAATCCCTTCTCCTTCGTTCTCCTCTCAGGATCTTGGGCAGACATGCACACATGGCGTGAGTTTAAGCCACCGGGTCTGGGACACAAACCGCAGTTGGCTCCATGGGAGTCCAGCGACATAGCCATTATGCTAACTGCTGGTCCCTTCCAGTTTTTGATCAGAGAGAGAGAAAGTGAGAAAGCAGGCCACTAGGTCCAGGACTCAAACGATGGTCGGCCATGTGGGAGTCCAGCACCTTTAACCACCATGCTGCCTGCCGGCCCCTTCAGAGTGTTTTTCAAGCTTCTGGGTCAAGAACTTGAACCTCACAGTCAATCACGTGGGACCCTGCTGCCTGGTTACATCATGCCACCAGGGCCCTGTTAGTTAAATCTTAAAACATGTATTGGGCTCAGCACTGGTGGCACAAGTGGTAGGATGCTACTGTGTGAGGCTGGGGCCACATGGGAGGCCCAGGTTCGGTTGCCAGACCAACGTAAACAGGCTGGGTAGTGTGCATGCCTGTAATCCTAGCCAACTGGGATGCGAGGACAGGAGAATTATGACATGGTGAGACCCTGTCAAAAAATACCTCTCTCTTGGGACCAGCAGATGGCGTAATGGTTACGTTACTGGATTCCCATGTAGTTGACCATAGTTTGAGTCCTTGACTGACCTAGTGGCTTAAAACTCATGCAGGGCGTGTGTGTATGCGTGCTCAAAATCGCAGGAGGAGAATGGAAGGGAAGGGATTGCAAGGCCACCCGTTCCCCCCAACCCGGAGTGATTTCTTGCTTCTCTCTGTCTCTTCAGCAAGTACATGTGCCCTATAGCAAAAGTCTCTCTAAAAACAAACAACCCTCACCCTGCCCTCATGAAAACAAACTCAAAAACACAAACCAAACAATACAAAAAAAAAAGCACATAGGTCACCACGTGGGTCCTCTGAACACAGCACAATCCCTACGTAAGTCCATAACGTGTAACGAGCCAATATAGTTAAGAGCAAGGTCTATCTAGTTAGGCTGCCCGGGGTTGCTATCCCTGTTCTACCAGTGAATACCTGTGTAACTTTTGCAAATGGCTTAACTTTTCTGAGTCGAGATTCCTCATCTGGAAAATGGGGGACAGTATCAGTACTTACTTCATAGGATTGCTGTAAGGATTAAATCAGTTTTCTGTGAGAAAGGCGTGGGCCAACAGCCTCAGGGAAGGGTAGTAACCTGCCCAAAAACACACAGCTCCTAAGTAGGATCTGATATTTGAACCCAGGCAATCTTACTTCAGGGTCTACCTTCTATGTTACTTTGTGCGCTATGGACATGAAACAAAGTAGCTGCTAATCTAGAAAGAGCGCAATCTGAAGGCCAGGCGGTGTTTCAGGAATGCTGGCTTTTCAGATAATGGTGGCTCAGACAGCTCCAGGCCGTCCTGGCCGACCACAGACTCATTTGAGACCTGGCCGCCTTGTTTCTCACTGGGAAGACTCACCGTCAGGGCCCTGGCGGGCAGCCGCATGCAGCGCCGTGTCCCCATGGCGGTCCTGGTGGGCAGGGTCAGCCCCCAGTCGCAGCAGCAGGCACAGGGCAGGGGCGTCGTGGCGGGCGGCGGCCCCGCGGAGCGGCGGGGG